TCAACGTGAACTCGTTCGGGCCCGAGGGCCAGACGGCGCTGCACCAGTCGGTCATCGACGGCAACCTGGAGCTGGTCAAGCTGCTGGTCAAGTTCGGCGCCGACATCCGCCTGGCCAACCGCGACGGCTGGAGCGCGCTGCACATCGCCGCCTTCGGGGGCCACCAGGACATCGTGCTGTACCTGATCGCCAAGGCCAAGTACTCGTCGGGCAGCCGCGGCTGAGCGCGCCCCGCGCCGCGCGGCCCGGGCGGCAGGGCCAGCCGGGACTCAGGCCGGCGGCCGCCCCGGCCCGCCTCGACCTCGCCGCACGGAGGAGCGCCGCCGCAGCTGCTCGCGGACCGGCCCCGCCGCGCGGGAGGGACGCGGGGCCGGCGCAGGATGGACCGCGGGCCCGCGCTCCGTGGGACGAACGGGACGGACCCCTCGCCGCCTTCCATCTACCTCGGTTGCTCCGCAGTATTCGCTGTTCTCCTCGTCTCGCCCACGGACGGCCCGCCCGCTGGAGGCGCGCTCGGCCACCAGGCGCCTGCCCGCCGCGGCCCGCCTCGCCCTTCACGAGCCGGTCGGGCGCCCGCCGGGGCCGGAAAGCTGCTCGCGCCGCACCGTGGCGGGGGCCCGGCAGAGCGAGCGCCCGCGCCCTCCCGGCCCGGTCTTCGCGGCGGCGGCGGCGCTGGGATGCGGCCCGGGCCGAGACTGAGGCCACCCGCCGTGGCGAGGCGAGGCGGCCGCCTCCGTTGCGCGCCGGCGCCTCGGCTCCCCTCCTGCTCGCGCTGCTCCGTCGGGTCCCGCAGGGCGCTCCAGATGGCGCAGACGGGGTGCGGGGCGCAGGGCCATTCGAGGGGGCGCGGGGGGAGGCCGCTCGCGGCGGCGGCGTGTCCCGAGGGACGGGAGTGCCCCCTGCTGCCCGCGGGGAGCTGCCGGGCCTCCCTCGGCCCCTTCCCCGGGCACGACCCTTCGCGAGGGGAAGAGGCGAGCGGGGAAGCCCGCGGAAAGAGGAGGGCGGGGCGCCGGGGCCGCTTCCTTCCCACCCCCTCGCACCGAGGAGGCCCTCGGCCACTTCCCGCCGGGGGGGGGTCTCCTCCCCCGTCTTTTTGTCTGCACTAAAGGGAGAGAGAAACGGGTCCCTCCGCCATATCTCGCCGGCGTTTCTCTCCCCTGCGCCCCGCCCGTCAAATAGCCATTAAACCGTCTGAAGAGTCTCCGCTGGGTTGGGGCCCCTCGTGCTTAACTATTTATCGTGTGTGTGCGCGCGCGCGTGCGTGAGTGTGAGTCGCGTGTTTTGTCCGAAGTACAGTTGGGTGGTGGGGAGGAATGGAGGTGTGCATGGATCGCAATATGGCCCCCCTCCCGTTGCACTGAGTTATTCTGCTGTCTCCACAGTTCCGCGCCCCCCCCGCCCCCCAAGCTGAGAGGGACCCTCTGGCCGCTCGGCGTGGCCCCGCCTTGCTTGTCCTTTATGAATGCTGTAACTTGACACGTGATTCTGGGCCTGCCTCCCCCCCAACGGATCTTGTGAACTGGTGAGGGGGCACTCGCCACGGTGCTTTTCTTTTAGGATTCTCAGTGGGGGAGAATCGTCCTGTTTTTTTCCTGGTGTCTGTTTTAGAGTTGCACATAATTTCTTCCTTTCTTAGATGCATTTGTCACAATAAAATGTCATAACATTTATGACATTATTATGATGATTAATTAAAAGAAAAGTAGCTTATGTTCAGAAGTCCAAGATCTGGGATAGATTTTTAGGAAAAGATCTTGGTTTGAAACCCAACTTTCTAAAGGAAAACTCTCTCTTGGGAGTGTTTGTAAAGATGTTAACACATATTTATATTTTTATATATATATATAAAGTCTACCTTTGAAGACTGTGAAACCTTTTTTGGGGTGAAATAAGGAGTGAGACTTTTTTTCCTTTGGTCGCTGGATGTTTCGCCCCCTCCACTTGAAAGAACCGGGGGGCTTTTTTCAGTGGGATGGAGCGGTTTCCCTCACTGGGAGGACCGGCCTAGGATGCACATCTTTTTCCCGGAGGGGAGGTGGCCTCGCGCCGGACACGGCCGCTCTGAGCCTGGGGGCTCTTCCTGGCGGTCCTCCGCCCCACCAGCTGCTGCTCGTCCCACGGCGTGACCTGGAGCAAGGGCCAGAGGCGCTCCCAGAGTCCTCCCGGCGGGGCAGCTGGCGCGTGTGGGGCTTGAGGGTTTTTTCTTCTATGCAACCCCGCGAGGCCTTCTTCCAGGGCTACATTCTCCCCACCCCATGCTGAGAACTGAAAAGGGATCAGGCTCCCCACTGACCGTTTGGCTTGTGCTGCTGTGACTTGTTGTGCCAAAATGGAGAAGCTTTTTCTGTTTCCGTGGAGTGAGCGAGGCAGGCGAGGGTGGCTCTGCCTGGCGCATTCGACAGTCCCTCCCTCATTCGGATGGTGGTGAAGAACTCAAGTTATTCTGCAGAGGAGTCTCTGTAGACAATGTTGCTCCCCCTCTTCTAGACGGCAAATATCTTTTTAATTATGTTAATTAATTGGTTAAGAATTTTAGGCTTATATTGAAGCTGTATGTGGGTCACTGTATGATCATTTTTGAACTGGATTTTTAAAAAGAAACAGAACACCAACTCTGTACAAGATGGCATATTCCTAAGTGTATGATAGTATTGCGTAGTCCCAGGGTAAGAAATTTATAAATAAATTTTTCACTGATTGTTTTATAAAAAAATAAATAAGTTTCCTTGTGTGTCTTCCCCCTTCACCTGAGAACTGGACTGCACACACGACCTCGTTTTCAGTCACCATGTGCAGGATCAGATGGGCATTCTGTTCTTATTTGTCCCAGTAAAAAACGGTTCCCCTCCAGATCAGGTATGCACTTGCGGGGGGGAGCATGCCTTCGGGAAGACTTCCCAGTGTGGCTTTCTCTCTGTGGTGTCAGCACGGAATGGTTGGTAGCCAGAAGGGGACCCCTGGATGAGCAGCCCCTGCCCTGCCCTGCCCGTTGGCGGCTGCGAGGCCGTTTGCTGGCCGGGACCAGGCGAGCCCCTAGCGGAGCCCGGCCAGCCAGAGCCCGGAGAAGGAGCTGCGCTGCTGAGGCCACCTGGGCCTTGTGTTGCTACGGGGGCCTAAAGCCGGGGCCCCAAGAAAGCACAGTCATAACCAAGAGCGGACACCACCAAGGTGTCCCATGGAGAGAGGGGCGGGGTAGAGCAGCGCTCTCCACCAGGAAGGGGTTCAGCAGACCACCGAGATACAGAGACTGGTGGCTGCGTGTGGAGCAGACCCTGATCAGTGATGGAGCGGCAGGGGAGGGGGGGAGGCGATAGATCCTGTCTGTGTCTCTGGGCTGCAAGCCCCTAGCCCAGCTCTCCTGAAGTGGCTGGCCTTGGGATGCATCGGAGAGCTGTCCCCATGATCCCCAGGGAGCATGTCTGGCAGAGCGGGAGCAGGGCACACGATCCTGGCAGCCCGCTGAAGACCAGCCCGGCAGCTTGGATGGGGGCATTCTGAACATCTGCATGGACGAGGGCTTTGCAGAGGGTCTCCTGTGCTCTGACCAGACACGTTCGGGCTGGATGCCGAAATCTGCATTGTGTGTGATGCATATTTGCTTTTAGGAAAAAACCCGGACCTGACCTCCTCTGAAGTTCTTTGGCAGCCTCCTCCAGTCTGCCCCAACCCGGGACCTTCTGGGCGCATGGGGGTGCGGCTCTCGGAGCGGCTGGCTGGGCCATGCTGGGAGTCGTGGTCTGGCGTGTCTGGACGGCTCCGGTATGGGGAAGGCCCGCCCGCCTTTTCATGTCCGCATCCCGCACGGCGCTGCAGTGCCTTCGCCACTTCATTGTACCTTCGTGAATACATTTACACGCCACGTAAGCAGCGGCGGGATCCCGAATTGTGGCCAGGGCAGCGGAAGAGCAGAGCCGGGGCTGGGGAGGCCACGGGTGTCATCAGTGCCGAGGGCTCCTGCCCTTGAGGCTGACGACTGGGACGGGGCTGCGTGTGGATGCCGAATCTCTGATGGAGCGATTCCTGGGCTGGGGTCCCGGGTCAAGCCAGAGCACTGGGCGATTCGGGGGGGGGTCCTCCACAGCCCCACCGGGGGCTTGAGCCCGGGACCTTTGGCAGGCCACCCAGGGGCCCTGCTGCGGTGCCACTGCCCTTCTGTGGGGAGGGGGCCTCCGTGGTGTGCCCCCAGCCTCCCAGCGCCCTTTCACCAGGCTTTTGGGACGCATCCTGGCCCGGCAGCGCAGGCTCTGCGCGCCACCGTCACGGCCCCCCCCCCCCCCCCCCCGGTGTCTGGGTGGCTTCTGTGACCGGCCGCTTGCTTTCTGGCCACACACACATGCCAGGCCGGCCTGGGGTCGTCACTCTCTGCGTCTCATTGTCCGCCGGCTGCATTGTGTAGGCCGATGTCGCCGCAACCAGAACCCACAAAGGAATTGTGAACTCAAGTGTTTCCTCCAATTGTCCCTCTATTTTGTTTGTGCGGCTGACTCCAGGCCAGATGGATCAGGCACCTCTCGGGCCTGGCTGGGGGTGGCGGAGGCAGCGAGGGAGAGCGCCGGGCGGCTTTGTCTCGGGCGCTTCTCTTCGCCCAGCGAGCGCTCGGATGGATCGAATGCTCCGTGTGGAGGGGGGTGGGCTCCCCGGAGGCTGCGGGGCTCTCAACTCGGGAAGAGAAGATTGTAGGGGTGACTGGCCGAGAAAGGGGGTGAAGCTGATGGGGGGCGGTGCAGGTCAAGCAAGAGGGACAGACAACTGTGCAGCACATGGGTGGGTGGGAGGGAATTCGTCTCTTGTCCACGTTTTTGAACCTGTTGTGCTCCTCGGCACCAATACATTTATTGTCTGCTTGCCCTGAAAGCAAAGTTCTAGCCCCTGTGCACGTGACGAAAAGCTCTCCTAAAGCACTTGAGAAAGTGCACAGGAAGGTGTATTTCTCCGTCCAGATCCCCGAAACTGGACCCTGCAAGATGCAGGGCAGATAAGAGGCGTTCCTTCTTCACGAGGCACATGGCTGGAGGACGGAATCCACTTCCAGGAAATGGCATGGCGCCCCCCCCCCCCCCCGGCAGCCTGAGAAGGGGCCTGGGCGCTTTCATGGCAGAGGGGGCGGTCCATGGGGCTAGGAGCCTGGATGGCTACTTGCCACCTCCGATAGCAGAGGCAGTGCGCCTGTGCGCATCGTGCTGGGAGGCATGGGCCAGGGGCTTCCCGTGGGGTCCACCGTGTG